TGATAGCGGTACAGATGTTGCACGTAAGTTGGGCGATACATTAAGTATCAAAGGTGGTGCAGATAGTACGAAACTGACAGATAACAACATCGGTGTGGTTGCAAACGGCACAGATGGTCTTGAGGTTAAACTGGCTAAAGATGTCAATTTGGGTAGTGACGGTAGCGTTACTGCAGGTAATACATCTTTAAATAATAGTGGATTAACGACTACAGATTCTTCAGGTAATACGGCCACTCTGACGGGTTCAGGGACAAGTATTCAAGGAAAAGATGGTTCATCTGCAAACTACGGTTTAGCAGGAACAACTTTAAAAGATACTTCTGGTAACACCAACAGTACAACACCGACGGGCTCTACGGTTACAGACAAAACAGGCAATAGTAGTGAAACTACAGCTGCAGGTACAACGGTGACAGCCAAAGATGCCAACGGAAATACTACTGGACAAACAACCTATGGTTCAGATGGCTTTAGTATTAAAGATGGTCCAAGTGTCAGTAAAGATGGAGTCAACGCTGCTAATACGGTTATCAGTAATGTAAAAGATGGTACCAATGCAACGGATGCGGCAAATAAAGGCCAAGTTGAAAAGATGGTAATACAAATTCATCTACATCTACTGGGAATACTGTTTCAGGTAAAGATGGTAACAGTACGACGACTACGGCCGATGGTACAACAAGCAAAGACAAAGACGGTAATAGCAATACATCGACAGCAACAAGCAATACGCTTGCAGACAAAGATGGTAACAGTACGACGACTACGGCCGATGGTACAACAAGCAAAGACAAAGACGGCAATAGCAATACATCGACAGCAACAAGCAATACGCTTGCAGACAAAGATGGTAATAGCAATACGTCAACAGCAACAAGCAATACACTTGCTGGTAAAGATGGCAACAGTACGACGACTACGGCTGATGGTACGACAATTAAAGACAAAGATGGCAATAGCAATACATCGACGTCTACCAGTAATACGATCACAGATGGTAAGAATACGACCACCACAACAGCATCTGGTACAACCTATGGCAGTGCAGACCCATCTGATAAAACAAGCACGAATATTGGTCAAAATGGCCTAAGCTTTACAGATGCGTCTGGTAATAAGACAGGGCCAAGTGTGACAGCATCAGGTATTGATGCAGGTAATGAAAAAATTACCAATGTTGCAGATGGTACAGTGAGCCCGACATCTAAAGATGCAGTGAACGGTAGCCAACTTTATACAGCAACCACAGATTTAACGAATAAAGGTTTAAATTTTGCTGATACGAATGGCACAGTTACGCATAAAAACTTAGGTGAAACGTTAACGATTAAAGGTACAGGTACAAAAGCTGATGATCAGTACAATACTGATAATCTAAAAACAACCACAGATAGTAATGGCAATATTGTGGTTGGATTGGATAAAAATGCAACTTTTGATAGTTTAAATGCTGGTGGAACCACAGTTAACTCAACTGGCTTAACTATAAACAATGGTCCAAGCATTACGACATCTGGTATTAATGCCGCAGGTACCAAAGTGACCAATGTTGCAGATGGTACAGATACATCTGACGCTGTAAACAAAGGCCAGCTAAATACTTTAGAATCTGAAGTTAATAATAAGTTTAATGATCTTTCAACCAAAGGCAGTTCAACGCAGGACGGTTCTGGAAATAGTTCTACAACTACTGCATCTGGTACAACTGTTACAGACAAAGATGGTAATACAAATTCATCTACATCTACTGGGAATACTGTTTCAGGTAAAGATGGTAACAGTACGACGACTCCGGCCGATGGTACAACAAGTAAAGACAAAGACGGTAATAGCAATACATCGACAGCAACAAGCAATACGCTTGCAGACAAAGATGGTAACAGTACGACGACTACGGCCGATGGTACAACAAGCAAAGACAAAGACGGCAATAGCAATACATCGACAGCAACAAGCAATACGCTTGCAGACAAAGATGGTAATAGCAATACGTCAACAGCAACAAGCAATACACTTGTTGGTAAAGATGGCAACAGTACGACGACTACGGCTGATGGTACGACAATTAAAGACAAAGATGGTAATAGCAATACATCGACGTCTACCAGTAATACGATCACAGATGGTAAGAATACGACCACCACAACAGCATCTGGTACAACCTATGGCAGTGCAGACCCATCTGATAAAACAAGCACGAATATTGGTCAAAATGGCCTAAGCTTTACAGATGCGTCTGGTAATAAGACAGGGCCAAGTGTGACAGCATCAGGTATTGATGCAGGTAATGAAAAAATTACCAATGTTGCAGATGGTACAGTGAGCCCGACATCTAAAGATGCAGTGAACGGTAGCCAACTTTATACAGCAACCACAGATTTAACGAATAAAGGTCTAAATTTTGCTGATACGAATGGCACAGTTACGCATAAAAACTTAGGTGAAACGTTAACGATTAAAGGTACAGGTACAAAAGCTGATGATCAGTACAATACCGATAATCTAAAAACAACCACAGATAGTAATGGCAATATTGTGGTTGGATTGGATAAAAATGCAACTTTTGATAGTTTAAATGCTGGTGGAACCACAGTTAACTCAACTGGCTTAACTATAAACAATGGTCCAAGCATTACGACATCTGGTATTAATGCCGCAGGTACCAAAGTGACCAATGTTGCAGATGGTACAGATACATCTGATGCTGTAAATAAAGGTCAGCTTAATACCTTACAATCAGAAATGAACAGTAAGTTTGACGATCTTTCAACTAAAGGTAGTTCAACACAGGACAGTTCTGGAAATAGTTCGAGCACAACAGCATCTGGAACGACCGTTACAGATAAAGATGGTAATACAAATTCATCTACATCTACTGGGAATACTGTTTCAGGTAAAGATGGTAACAGTACGACGACTACGGCTGATGGTACGACGACTAAAGACAAAGACGGCAATAGTAATACGTCAACAGCAACAAGCAATACACTTGCTGACAAAGATGGTAACAGTACAACCACTACAGCTGATGGTACGACAACCAAAGACAAAGATGGTAATAGCAACACGTCAACAGCAACAAGCAATACACTTGCTGGTAAAGATGGCAACAGTACGACGACTACGGCTGATGGTACGACGACTAAAGACAAAGACGGCAATAGTAATACGTCAACAGCAACAAGCAATACACTTGCTGACAAAGATGGTAACAGTACAACCACTACAGCTGATGGTACGACAACCAAAGACAAAGATGGTAATAGCAACACGTCAACAGCAACAAGCAATACACTTGCTGGTAAAGATGGCAACAGTACGACGACTACGGCTGATGGTACGACGACTAAAGACAAAGACGGCAATAGTAATACGTCAACAGCAACAAGCAATACACTTGCTGACAAAGATGGTAACAGTACAACCACTACAGCTGATGGTACGACAACCAAAGACAAAGATGGTAATAGCAACACGTCAACAGCAACAAGCAATACACTTGCTGGTAAAGATGGCAACAGTACGACGACTACGGCTGATGGTACGACGACTAAAGACAAAGACGGCAATAGTAATACGTCAACAGCAACAAGCAATACACTTCAATGACCGATAGCAATGGAAATATTTTAGTTGGTTTAGACAGAAATGCGAGTTTCGATAGTCTTGCTTTAGGCGGAACGACATTAAACTCTAGTGGCTTAACTATAAACAATGGTCCAAGCATTACGACATCTGGTATTAATGCCGCAGGTACTAAAGTGACCAATGTTGCCAACGGTACAGATGCCCAAGATGCGGTAAATAAAGGCCAGCTTGATGCTTTAGCAACCAACATTAGTAACAATGTGACGAATGTAACGGATGGTAATGGCAATAAAGTTAATGTAAGCAGTGAAGTCGTAAATAGCTCTCCAAATAACAGCAATACAGAGTCTATGTTCCTGACATATAACACTCAGGGACAAGAAACGACAGATCGTTTAACCATTGGTCAAACTGTTCAGAAAATGA